TTCCGATACACGTCGCAGCAGAACAAGACCATTGTCGATTCCATCACGATCGTATCTCATGTGTTATGAAAGCAATGCACCGTCGAAGAAATGGCGATTTGCTGGACGCTAGCGATAATTTGAAATTGAATCTTCCGGCATAAATTCGTAAATAAAATTCTTTAACAAATGCGTCGCTTTCACATTGAAGTAATAGTATGTAGATGCTCATAATATGTACGATAAAATCATGAGAATGTAATGCATTGTATTCTTTTGAAAGCAACCCTCCTTAACTGAGAGGTCTCTCTCACTGAAGGATCCCAGCCGATTAGCTATGAGGCTACATAGGTCGTCCCCAGGTGATGGATAGGGAAGTAAATCGCCGGTCAAAAATCGCCGATACTTGTCCAGAGACGCAGGTGAGTTCAGGGAAGGGACTCCCTGTTCTGCCGTGCACTTGATTTAGCTTCTGTATCTCACAGATGTCTCTACGCGCAGATGTGTGGAGAGTCTGCGGGTGCAGCTATCCTGCCCGTCAACTGAGCCAAAAGCTTGCATTCGAGTGACTGGGAAGTATGTAGGAGGCGATTAGGGGCTGCCTCCAAAATCAAAGCCCTTCGTCCACACTGCAATAGCCTCGCTAGCTATTCGGAGTCAATCCAGCCTCAAGGAACGCTTGGTTACGCACACTAACTCGAGTTTTACTGAAGAGAGCGCTCTTAACAGAGAAAGGAAGTTTCCGCTTGAGCTCTTCCAACAAGAATCTGACCTATGAGCTTCGATGGAATCGGGTCTTTGATTCCTTTGAGAAATGCTTCTTACCGGGAGGGCATTACGCCGACTGCATCCCATCGTTTCCAGTGTGGATCGAATCTAGAGTTCTCATGAGGCTCAACCTACATTCTCTAGCACTAGGCTATCACAGTATTTTAGACCCCGTTTGGACTTGGGCATACAGTTACTTCCATTTTAATTTGGAAAACAGGAAAAGCCGAAAAATGGGAGTTGATTGCCGCTTCAGTGGGATTAGTGGGATACCGACCGCCACTGTTGGCACCCGAACGGCCAAGCTCCGAGATTCCGTGGCAGAGGACTTACCGTAAGTCAGACCTTGCGATTACAGTGGTTCGTAAGTTTAAAGAAAGAGAGCCATTTCAATTAAATACACAACCAATCAAACCAGCGTTCATAACGATAGATTTGTAACAAAAAATTATTCCATCAACGACTAAATTCCCAATGAACAGGTGTGGACTGACAGACAAATGAACAAAAACAACCTGAAATAATAGCAGTTTTCGCTAATTTATAACAATAGCTAACGAAGATGGTAAAAGTGGTAGAAGAAAACTGTTGGTAAAGGAAACTAGCACTCTGCCATTGTCACGAAGGGAAAGGAGGCATAGCTCAATTCTTACACAACAGTTCAATTAAATCAGCAGGGCATGAAGCTAACAGAAATTCACCTAGATGTATCAAACCTAACAAGTAATTATCGTGCTTCCGATCATTGCATCTGCTTCTGTTCTGAATTTTCTTTTGCTTCCACTGGTACAGGTGGTCCCTAAATACACTTCCATTGCCTCAGAAGAGAATACCAAGAAAATTAAAGGCACAGTTCACGATAATTTTGAGGTACCCGTTTTTATTCGAAAAGCAGAAGTATAGATTGGGAATAGTTCATCGGTAGTGAAGAAAGCGAGAGGATTCGCCTATTTCGATAAAAATATGGCTCGTCAAAAGTAGGGAATAGAGGTTGGACGAGATTGCCATGACGGATATAACATGGAAGGGATGTTCGGACTAAATATCAGTTATTACAATTGCACAAAGAGCTGACTACATCAAGCCAGAACTGTACAGAACTCTCTTCCACCGTTGCTATGGGCCATGACATGTTGTTCGAACTTTCTACATGGGTTCCCTTGTGATCGGTGCAGCCACTACAATGCCGGTGAAACTCGTCCGAGGTTACCCAAGGGCCAATCTTTGAGCCTTTATAACTCCCTGACTAGGCTGTTTTTCGACTTTATAGTGGTATAGCAGATATGGTATAGGTGTGGGTCTCGCATTCGTCCTATGGGGAAGTCTCAGAAACCATTTTTATCGTGAGCTGTGCCTTCAAAGAATCTTCGAAGAACTTCTTCTCTGGTCCCGATGTAACTTACAAAATATGTAAATGACGTCTTCGCAGTTTCTGAAGCAGGCGGCAGCGACTGCTGAAATCACCACAACGTTTTTGTGGCATCAGGTAAACTGTGGGACTCTAATGAAGTGAGGACTATAGCGGAGCACACAATTTGATGGCGGAGGCTGTACGAGACGAGAACAACGAGAAAGGTACTGAAGACTAGTCAGTCTTTCAGGACCTCAAGAAAGTGCAAGAGAGATCATAATGAGCAGCGGGAAGCCTTGATGAGGTGCAAGTTGAAGGTACGAGATCGATCGTAACCTTGTCTCTGAACACGTGATAAAGAGGTTTTGAGAGAACCATGAACTCTGCTGGCTGGAGCTACCTATCTTCCGGATAACGTCTTCAAAACGTAGCGTCTCGAAAGCCCCCAGAGGGAGAAACACCACGCATTTCCTTCTCTGAAGGTTCTCTCTCACTAAGGGATTTCTGCAGAGTTTGAGAGAGCCCTTGTAAGTCACATGTATTACTAAGGAAACTCAGGAAAGTGGCAGAACTCACTGAACTCATGACATTTTCTTTCGGAGTGGTTGGCAACGAAGAACCAGACCCCTTAAATCATTCTCATTGCTATGTAAATTTCAGAAGAAGAAGAAAAACTTCCAGTACAGAAAGTTCCCATCTCAAAAGTAAACGACTTACAGCTCTCCCTAAGGGCATCGGGAAAGGTTCTGCTGTGTTTGTTGCAGTAGGCGTCGGCTAAACACATTAATGATGAAATGAGGACTATCTTGGTGTTACTCTTTAAGAATATAAGCTGAGCAGGGAACTGCGAAAGTTACGGTATTCTATTTTTTCCATGGAATTACTTCACAGTCGAGAAAAAGTAAAATTGCTCGGAATGGGTAGTCTGGTTCTCGCGCCGAGCCAACCGGAGAACGTCCGTTGCGCGCGTCCGTCAAAAGTAGGACGCGTCCGCCAAATGACTACTGCGACATCCGTCAAGTATCGCGGGCTGACCCGCCGCATGCGACGGCTGCGGCGTGACCTAGTTTCGACGGACGCGCGCAATGAAGCGCACCCGAGCCAACCAGATCACCAGTACCTCACGTACAGATTGATTAGTAGCAAAATCATATACTTTCTGATGAGCTCACGTTCTGAAAAGGCGACTGCTGGCCAGTCGGTATTGGAGTCGGCAATGTTTCCTGTGAAAACCACATTTTCCCCAATTTGAACAAAAAGTGACTTTCTGGGACACTGAGAAGACGAATAACTTACGGGTGCAGTCCTTCTACCCAGGGAACTACTTTCGGTGCTTTTTGATTTCCTCACACTTTTCTCACTTTTCTCATCATTTTTAGCATTCAACGACGGGTCACTATGTCTTCGGCCCAACACCTGCCTGCTACAAAAAAGAGCAAAAGAAGCTCGACCATTTGAATGGCTATGGATAAGTTCGTGAGATTCACTCCCTCAGTTGCTGCGCCAACTCCAGAATCCTTCTACGGCCTTCCTTGACATTGAGCATCGAATCTCCTAGAAGTTTTCTCCGCCCCTGAAATGCTCATGTCTAGCAGTCCACTTCTGATACATCTCTTTACTGACCTACTTACTTATCGAATCTGGTAGCTGCAATAAAAAATAAGTAATCGTGAGTTAGAAAGTTGAAATACTTAAAAGTTGATAAGTACTAATCGCTTATAAAAGTTATAAAATCTAAAGTCTAAAGGCTCCAGCGTTGACCAATCCCTTTTTGGAGTGCCTCGGCACTCGACTTCCACTCGAGATAGAATAAAGCCTATGTGACCTAAACAGTAAGTTGTGGTGACCAACTAGTGTACTGTGTAGGCAGGGCTTCTACCTGCTCTCAGAAGAGTCAATCGGCTCCAAAGGAATGGAAGGCTAGATTGGCCTGGGTAAGTATCTGCCTGAGAAGCTGTAGTATTTTCAAATTTAAGAAGATCAAGCAAAATAACCTACAGTTGATCGGATACTTTTATCTGGACCCTGCTCAAGGTCTCGAGAAAATCGTTTGCGAGGTGGAGAGGATGGAGACGAAATCTCTCCAACTTTTGACGTCCCGTCTTCTTGCGAGGAACTTCTCGAAACTGAAACAAAAACCTAGCCGTAGCCACCTCCTAGTTTATTTTTCACTTAATTTATGCTGAATGTACATATTCATCAAAACCGCATAGTTTCATGAATTTTTCCAAATTCCCCGGGATCCGATTCCCAAAGACCGAAAGCTTTGCACAAGAAGTCGCTTGATCTCAGGAATTTAAAATACTGGTGATAAAGAGTATGGCGGCCTTGTTAAGCCAAGATTTACAAAACTCCATTCATAGGCTTATAGGGTGGGGTAGAAGTGACCATTCTAAGGGTTCGAAGGCGTTCACGGTAATTTTGAGGTACCCGTTTTCATTCGAAAAGCGGAAGTATAGATAGGGAATAGTTTATCGGTAGTGAAGAAAGCGAGAGAATTGGCCGATTTCGAGAAGAATATGGCTCCTCAAAAGTAGGGAAATAGAGGTTGGACGGGATTGCCATGACGGTAATAACACGGAAGGGATATTCGGACGAGATTTCAGTTATTGCAATTGCACAAAGTACTGACTACATCAAGCCAGAACTGTACAGAACTGTCTTTCACTGTCGCTATGGGTCATGCAAGTTGTTTGAACTTCCTACATGGGTTCCCTTGTGGACGGTGCAGCCTCCACAATGCTGGTGAAACTCGTCCAAGGATACACACGGGCCAATCTTTGAGCCTTTATAACTACTAAACTAGGCCATTTTTCGGCCTAATACTGCCAAATATGGTACACGTGGGGGCCTCAAACTCATCCTGTGGGGGATCTCAGAAACCATTTTTATCGTGAACTGTGCCTTCGCAATTTTGAGCTTGAATATGCTCAAAATGTACAAGATTAAGGCTTCATTCGTGTACGAAGGGCCCCCGGTATTATTCGTGATAGATCGGAGCATAATTCGCTTTTATGAGACGAAAGATAGCATCCAAAGCAGAAACACCAAAGTGATGTCCTCCCACTGACCTCTTCTTCCACGCTTCCCACTTCCACTACCGCTGCTCTTGCTGCTTCCTCTACGCCTACGCCCACGTCTCGTTTCCATTTTTGTCGATGCTTCATCGCTTAGGTTTATATGAACATGTTTGAGTATAGTAGCAGCGAGGAGAGCTACGGTCTGAAAACTGTTCGGTATCGAATGAGAAATTTCTGCATCACTTTTGAGGCAACCGCATGCGTTTTTGAATGATTCAAGAAGGTCGTTGTATCTTGGTGGTGTGGTTACTTCTACCCGAAAATCCCGTCGCGGTCGCCGCATACGATCGCGCGCAATCGTGCCTTTTGGAGTGAGAGGCTTGAATTCTCACTGAAATCGCCGCAGAACCACGGCCCTGTGGTTGCCGTGAGAATTTGGGTAGAAATATCGCCACCGGCTTTCAATTATACTCAGAAGGCAATGATGGCTCAGCGACCGGCGAGAACAACCGGATGGCAGCTCCTTCCCCATGTAGAATAGCAGAGGGTTTATGTGATTCGGGATGAAGGGCCACTATCGCAACAATCTAATTATCAACCCACCTGAACGCAAATCAAGAGAATAAGAATCAGTAGATGGATAACTGTATAAGTGTTTGTAATTACACTATAGATAAACCAGATCACTTCACTTCCCCCAGTAATCGCTTGAAGCAGTAGATATGCGAAGAAATGGGCTGGAAACAAAAAGTCTCTCTGACGATATGGTGGACGATATTCAAAACATTCTATACTGTAGGTTGACAAGGGAACGACCAGATGGGAGGCAAGGCGTCTGTTTCACTGGAAGTATCAAATAACCTACATGGATGGGTGGAGGTGGTATAATGACAAGGGATGGAATCCCGGTTAGACATGGGGTCAAGCCAATCAAATCTTCCATCCCCCGGACTTGGCCGAGTGGTGTGCCATGGGACTCGTCCTTGAGGACAAAAGCCCTATCTTACACACCGACTCGCCACCATCAGGCAGAGGTGTTACCTCCCATGCAGATCACAGGGGGTTCTTCAAGGATCCTTCGCTCCCGCACCCTCCTTATCTGAATATTATACCTCGGTTTTTTCTTAGTTTTTTATGTACATAGCCCTTGCTCAGCTTCACCGATTCTTCTTTCGCTCTTTCCCTTTCCCAAAGCCAGAAAAGGTAGGATTCTGGTGAAGGGGACGTGTCCTAGCCGTATCACGTCGGAACTTTTTTACCTTTAAGTATCACATATTACCTGGCTTCCTTGTGAAATAGTAAGCGAAGCCAGGAACGGTGATTAGGAACTGCAACAGAGCGAGAAGAAGAATGAATCCTATGGGCTGGTTCACCGATACACCAACTGAACAACAATGATCTGCTAGGATTTTTCTATTTTTAAATCTCCTCGCTGTCGACCTACCTACGGCAAAGATCGTAAGAGCAGCTGCTATAGTAAACTGGAAGAATATAACTATTTGAATCAAGCTTAAGCGATTCAACCTGAATTGAGAGATTGGAAAGTAGTAAGTTGAATAAGTAACTTCACTATGCCATCATACTCATGATTCTTTTCGTTGACGGACGGTTCTACTGCCTGGTCCCCCGACTCTTTGCCGGTAAGGCTGAAAATGAATCAGGTATTCTGATGTTCCACCACTTCGGCAGAATGCCAAATACTAGGTATAACTGCAAGACGTTCCTGAATATTTTAGTAAGTGCAAATAAATACTTACACCTTGCCTGTCCAACTTCTCCCTAGGTCCAACAGCTCGCAATTTGATCACACCTGTTGTACTTACGGGATTCCAGATCTATATCACATCCAACGTCATCTACACAAAATTATTTCTTCGGTTCTGATTCAGTGAACGGTCTAAGCAATTAGCAATGCGTCCTTCAGCGGCACTCGGCCTCTACATGGGGGTAAAAGAACTTTTCCCCGATTGCGGTATTTTCCCTTGCGGCATGCGGCAAATGTCACCGCAGTTACCGTACTCACTCCACCTCCCCGCCAATCGATAGGACGCGATATTTTTCGTTGTTTGCCTTGCTTTTTTATTGGATTTGATCGTTTTTTCTTCTGTTTCTTTTTCGTTTTCATGTTTATCAGACTTGATTAATTAAAATGACTCCTCTTATATAAACGACGATCAAGACTGCATTGGAATTGAAAAGAGCAGCCAGCCAATTCAAATAATTAAAGGACTCCCTGCCTCACAAATTGCACGCTCCAATCTTCCATCGCAATCCTGCGATACGCAATCCTGCGATAGGGAGAAGTTCCCGGACCATCTACATAGAGTAGCATCCATTCCTGGTAAATCCAGTTCGATTCAAGGTGTGTGCCATCTCATTTTGAGGAAAACCTGATCTCATTGTCGCGGTATTCACATTTCGACACATAAGCAAACCTTTTTGCCGACCAAGTACGTATAGCCATGGTCTTTCCCTTCAGTCCGCTTTGGTTAGAACAGAAAGAAGATCTAGCAAGAAGGCTTTACTTTTCTGTACCGTACAGTTTTCCCCAATGGATTTGCTCAATCACCCCAAGATTCCATCAAATAGCCATTTTTAAAGTGGCTCGTAGCTCTCAAACCGTGGCTCATGTAAGTTCTCACACCCGGACCCGGAAAATACCGTGAGACCCAAACCGAGACGAACCCAACCAAGCAATACAAATCCTTCTAAATGCTTCCTCAAAAAGAATGGGTATTTGGACGAGCTGTCCAAATGTGTGCACCATTGCGTACAGCTGGCTACAGTAAGCTGCCTGCGCAAAAGATTTTCGTGTTCCGATATTGATTTCCCCCGAACATTTAGCTTTCTTATTGTTACAGGTTTCTTCACTCACTATTCCTCTCACTGATTAAGCTGATAACGACACAAGAGCAGCATAACGATGATCAAGCTATCTCATCCAACCAACGTTCTCCGGCTCATGGTGGGAAGTGAGCCTACCGTAATTTTTCTGGCGTCAAGTTACATATTTCCCTGTTGACTGCGGCCTCTGCATCTTCACGGAACGACATACCACCCTTTCTTTCTTTCTAATTATGTTTCGGACTTTTGTCTTATTTACTCTCACTAGTCTTACTCTATTTTTGCTTATCTCACTCAGGTTTTCCATCTAATTCATAAGCTAAGCTATTTATTTGCTTGTTTGGTGAAGATTTGGTTGAGTGGGGAAGGGCGCCGGTTCTTCCCAACATTAATCGCCAGAGCGCTAAGAAGGAGAGGTAGCGACTTTGCTCATGCCTAGAGAAAGTTTTAGCTACAGGAAATCAGTTATAAGTGAAGCATTAAAAGAGGAGGAGCGCTATGTGGTGGATGACTCCTCGTGCAAAAAACTGATATGATTTTAAGAATTGAACCCTCAATCGGCTCATTCACCCCAGTACTCTTTTCCTCGTAAGGTTTTATCAAAAATCAAACTATATTTCTTCGATCGCGAAACGTTCCTAATCCCCAAATGGGCTCGCAAAGTCGCTACCTCTCTCCTCTTCTCTGAGCTCTAGCACCCAAGTTTGGAAAAGGGTAATCCCTCTCTCCCCTTCCTAACTTCATAGTCAGTTTTCGCTCAAAATCTTTTGGTCTTTGAAATGCATAAGAAATATAGAGGCTCCTATGGCAAACGAGGCAATTTTCAGGGAACAATGGAGCATTCAAAAGAGCCTGAGGAAGTAGTTATCGATGCGGAAGATGATGAGGTGTGCTTCCTGTGAAATGCATTGGCTGACCATTTGTGTTTATTTAGCACAAAATGTGTTGAAAAGCAAGGAATTCTTTAATTTTCCAAATCAGTTGCTCGTCTCGAGAGCCTTGAAAAATCGTCCAGTGTAATTCTATCGAGATATGGGTGGCTCAGCTATGTACAATAGTAATTTCATTTTAATGCATTATGAAGTCGTTTTCAGCCCTTGGACTTGCTCTTCTCCGACAACAATGGCAGCTTTGCTTGCCGTCGAGGTTTGATCTCTTAGATAAAGACATTTTAATTGTTTGACTTTATGTTGTATGCACCAATGAAGAGTATTATTGAGATTCTAACATTTTCCGCTTCTTGTCTCCGACCCTGCAGTATATTCATTTAGCCCTTGACCAATTCAAAGGCAGGCATCGTCAGTACGGAAATGCTGTCTGCCCCGAATGCAAGCAATCCTTTGTCAATGCAGCAAGATTGGAGAGACACTTAGCTGTACATCAGGTAGGAAGGCAATGTGGAATTTCGTGCGGTTCAGTGCATTTGGAACGATGTTGTGTTGTGATTAATGCTTCAGGTTTTTGGCGCTTTCCTTTGCCCTTTGTGTGGGAAAACCTACAAATACGAGTACAATTTGTTCTTTCATTGGCGAAAAACATGCCAGTACCTCAACGATTTGGTTGGAGTCGAGCAGAGAAAGGTTTGTTCCAATAAGATTTTTAATACTCGGATTTCGGTACCAATTTTTATTTTGATACTATTCTTAAATTAACTTATTTACAATTTTTCTTGAGCAAAGCTAATTGAATGCCGGAAATCGATATGTTTCAAAAGCTGTTTTTTAAGCAAATGATTTTGAGGGTGAGCGCAATGTATTATTGGCGTCATCGTTCGGTTAATTCTTGTTTGAGTTATCTCAGGAGAGGGAGTCTGCCACTCGAAGAAGCCTTTTCCCTGACTTCGCTCGTGCTCCCGACTTTTTTGGTCATTTGGATGACCAATACTAACTGCTCATTCCCAGCTCCCCCCCCCCNACAAGTTCGAGGTAACTGGGAAACTGCTGATGAGTTTATCGGTTGCGAGCCTCAGCCCATGTGTGGAGAGGGAGCTGCTTCACACTTGACGGAGACTGATTGGTATCCACTTCCGGTTCTCATTATTTTTTAGAAAGTTCCGATTACCAAGTCCCTGATACCCATGTCGGCCAACTCTTTAACGAAATTATACTTCACAAATTACAAATACTCCTCTTTCTCAAAATTGTTTAGGAGCTGGACGTTCACTCTCTTCGTCTTCTCGTTGAAGAAGTTGTCGTGAAAAAGATTGAGACGGAACCTGTCAACATAGGCATATCTACAAACGCCCTGTTGAATGGAGGCACAGAAACGCCACAGTTGGAGTTGCCGATCGATCCACAAAGTATTTTTTCTTTTTTTTTATCAGGAAAATAACTGAATCTCCTCGAATCTGAATATGATAACCGTATAAGGTTGAACACCTCACTTAATCGCGATAGGGTTGAATGGGCATACTCCTTCATATTACCTCCATTTAGTTCTGTCCGAAGTTCGGAGTCTGTCAGTGACATGTATGAAACTTTTATCTTTATTTTACATCATTGTTTAGAAATGTTTATTCCTTGGAGGAAGTATCCCCTCTCTCTCAAGCGCATACCACCTTATTTAAGACGATTCTACTTGAAAAAACTGCGAGCGTATAACACGGCTTCCAAATCTAATACTTCTCAGGACTGGGATCTCTAAAAGTCTGCTTCTGACAGGTTCGAAAAGAAACTCTTCAAGTTCAACTGCTCGGTGGGTGGAAAAAAA